GCGGCCGGCCCCTGGCTCTGGAGAGCGACAAAACCCCCTCCTGGTGGTGCCGGGCTCCAGCGACGCTGGCAAAGAGGGGTGAAGGGGGCCTGAAGAGAGAATTCACCCCCTTTCCCTGCGCCGTGAGAAGACCCCAGCACACCACAGCGCTCCTGGTAGCTGCTGTCCAACCCCTTCTTCAGGGCCTGCGGTCACCCCGCATCCCCCAAGGCATAGCTACTCCTCCGCGTTAGCACTCCATGGTCTCCTTCCCTATGGATCATTTTTCCGTAGGCAGGCAGGTGTTCTTTCCCCTGCACGCACCACGTGTGACGTGGGTGCTGTGGGGCTTGCCCCAGAGAATGGGTGGGTCGTTTCATGTGGGGGCGATGGCAGTGGCATCTGTTTTCTTTCCCTGAAAAACTGCTCAAAATCCAGCCCCCACCAAGGTTAGAGGAGTTTTGTCACTGGTGTCTACAAAGCCTGGATTTTATTTCGTGATAGTGAATCTCTTCTCCCAAGTGCAAGTGCAGAAAAACCTGGGAAAAAGTTTTCGCCGTAAGAAGAGCAGCTCTACTGGACTCAGCGGGGTTTCCCATGCTAGTTGCAATAGCAACAATCTCAGTGGTTCGTATTTATGGTGTGGAAGCATGTTTGCTTCGTTTTGTTTACTACTTAAGAGTAGTGTACAAAGCGGCGAGTTACTCCTCCATTCAGTGTAGTGGGACTTGATAAAGTCAAACCTGTGCCTTATAAACAAATTACAAGATAATAAGCTATGAACACCAAATAAATATTTATTTGCTGCAGTAAGGCATGGAGTAGTCAGTTTTGTGCCAAAAGCATCCGTGGACGTCCTGACCAGCAACCAGAAAACATTTCTAAGCTAGATTTTTGTTTAACTGCAGTCCAAAATGTCTGAGTACAAATATGATTTACTTCTTGATTTATTTCTCAGAGCATTTGTTTGGGGGTGGAAGGGAGGCCTTGTTCTGATTAATTTAACAACTAGTGTTCAATGTCTACATTAGGGATCAATCCAACCAGCACCTGTAGAATTCATTCCACATCGTTACTCAAACCTATGAGAGACTAAATTTGGGCAGTTTAGCGGAAACATACATTGAGCAGGCAGGAGATTCTTGATTTACTGATCAAAGACAGTGCATGCAGATACATTTCACCATCATTACTAATCCTGTTCTTTATTTTAAACCTAACCCCAGAGTTAATTTTAGTCTTGTGTGAACAGTTTCCAGAAGATCAATGGCATGACAAAATCTGGAAGTGATAAATAACCAAAAGCACCAGATATGGTAACTCTGCCGTAGTAAAGATGTACAGATGTAACATAACTTTTCAGTTTCCTCTCTACAGGCTGTAAAATAGAAGAGGGAGTCTGGACAGCTATTTTATGCTTGTAATTAATGTGTACCGGGAATCGTTTGTACTTCAAAGATTTATTTTGCCGCCAAAATAAGGCTAATAACAAATCTAAATATTGGCTGAAGGATTGTGACATGCGGATACTATGTATACGCACACAGAGTATGCGTGTGTAAGGCCACACGCAGTACGTGCGTGCACACACACACTCACGCGTGCAATCTGACACGCTCACGTCATCGAAGCAGCTGATCTGTTGAAGCCAATGCTGCTGTTCTCACAAGTAAGGAGGGTTTTTTTAAGACTTCCAAAAGATGATACTCTTCCTTTAGTTGTGTGCAAAACAGCCTTCAGTAGCTGTGCGCACGTATACCCACGCGTGTCAGCTTCTACGTTGCCAGCCTCACTGGTCCCAGCATCCTGCTGAGCAAGAGTTGCGTGTTTATTACAGACAAATCCCTGCCGACTCTGCCTTCGGGTGAATATAGGCAAGGAAAATAGGAAGCGGTCTGATGGTTTTTGTTCAGGGTTTTGGGGGAAAAACAGCTATGTGGAACTGGAGAACCCGTGTGTCCCGTATCACACCAGAAAGAGTAACATGACACGTGTCAGTAACCTAAGCCTTATGGAGGGTTTTGTAGACCTCCAAGAACCTCTTGCATGATCATGATTCTGATTTTACAGGTGAGGAAGCTGTAGCAGGGAGAGGTGAATTCACTGACCTAAGGTCACCCAGCAGGTGAACGGCAACTCTAGGAACAAAATCCAAATTGTCTGGGTCCTGGTCCACTCTTCAATTGCCCAATGTAAGAAATGCAGTGGTTAAACAATGACCCATCTAATGACCTTCATAAGAGAGATTAATTTGTATAATAAATTTGTCAAATGTCTACATACATTTTTATGTTAAGTATCCCAGAAGGAGCAACTTCATAGAGAAAGAGTTTCTTTTTTATGCCTGTACTACAGAACTGCAAGATAAATTGCCCACTGATTTCCCTCTTCAGCAAAATATTTAAGTGCACACTTATCTTTAACGACATACTTACATGCTTTGCTGAATCCAGAGCCTCAGCGCTAAGGTTCAGAGGACCATGGCTAGCAGACATTCATTAATTCAGCTTGCATACAGGTGTGTAAAAATGAAACATTTTCAAAGGTTTTCGGTGCTCAGCACTTCTGGCTGCAACAAAGATTTGCACGCAAGTCTGATGTGCAGATCTTGTAGCTGGAGTTGGTTCGTATTAGCATTTTGGTTTGAATCAGGAGTGTGCTATTAAAGCCAATGCTACAGCTGCCCCCTGCCCCTGACCAAATTGCTTGAATTTGTATTGCAAAGCATCAAAGGGCACACACACTGGATTCCTCTGAAATGAAACTAATTGCAGGATGTACCCCTGGAACACACTTTTCAGACACTAATGGGTGTTCAGTCCATGGGGTCTGACTAAACTTAGTTCAAAGTAAAATATGAAAATTCATGGAGGGTGGAAGTTAGGTCTTCAGCACCAGGTGTTCCTTTTCACAGATCCATTCCTGTAGTATAGGTCTACTGGCTGATTTGGCCAAAGCCCTAGATGTCTAGAGAGAGAGACAGGTCTTTTGAACCTTTAGTGGTGAAGGGGACGAAATAAAGCACACTTGTGACTGAGCCTTTACTGTTGTCTCCTGGACAAATATTGACTTTTGAAGTGTAAGGTTTTGAAAAATGTGTTTAGATCTTTGCAATTAATAAGTGCTAATTCCTTCGAACAACTTTCCAAATCGTTACGTTTTATGCATCTTCTTGTGTCTACCCCTCTTGCTTTTTAAGCTTCTGGGGAAAAGCTAGCCAGACATACTAAATGGCAATATGTGTGAGTGTTGAAAATGAGAGATGACTTCTGAAACAGACAACGTAGTGAGCTGCATACCATTTGCTGCAAGCAAACCTAACCAGGTTGACCTGCTGTCAGTCACTGATTCCACGTCCTGTAGTAGCAGATGGAAGGGACAACCTGATTGCTTCCCTAGTCTTCAGGGCAGCTACGCAACGGCTGGTGAAGGATAAGTGAACAGACTGCAGATAATACTGATGTGTTCAGACACCAATACACATAGTGTATTTTTATAGTGTACACATAGTTTTATGGATACATATTTGCCCCTCTTCTGTTTATTACTCTCTTGATGTATTAGTAACAAATTAAGCTTTTTTCCCTCTTTGCCTCCTCTTTGCCTTTGCAAAGGGATGAATTATCTCTAGGCCCTGTTACTCACAGTGATACATGAAAGCTGATCAATAACCGTATGGATGGATTGTGTCATATGATTTTGGAGGGAGGAAAAAGAAATGCTTTACCATGGAAGTCAGCAGTGTTCTTTGCTGAGTAAAGATCGTGTCCAAAGCAGGACATAAGAACCTGCTGAATTTCAGTCAAGTATCGAGATCTTATGGAAGTTAGATCTATGTACCACAACTACGGTTAAATGCTAGCCTAAATATTTTCCAGAATAGAAAGAACTCAAGCATATTTTGCTATGTTCTTCTGATTAGAGATCTAAGGCATTATCCAGTCTAAGAAGGGAGTGTCATCTCTAGTGTTAAGAGTTAACACCCCAGTCATTATATGTACAGTGTAGGTGCCAGTCAACCTCTCTGTTAACCTGAAAATTTTTATGAAAATAAGGTTAGACAACTACAACTTCCAGTTATGCCAGTTGTTAATAGTAATGTAGAGTAGTTCTCCTTCATCATAGGTGTGACCAAATATAATACTCTTTGTGTGGCTTTATTGGGATGCCAAAAGAGGCTCGATGCCAGACAATTCACTAGGTGGACTCTGATGTCAAGTACATGCAAGGGTTCATTTCTTGGCTGTGCTTTTCCATAGGAGCCTCCAAAGAGGCCAGGTTGGATGGGGGTCTAGCTGAAGATATCCCTGCTCACTGCAGGGCGATTGGGCTAGATGACCTCTATAGATTCCTTCCAATCCAAAGCATTCTACGATTCTGTTCTAAGGAAGAGAGGCACATATTGCCTCCTCCTGTACAGTCTCTACAAGGCACATACATACTTGGGACTGCTTGGTGAATCAAAACACGTCACTGAATCAGCAACAGCCTACATAGCATTAGGATTTAGCATATGGCTTTCAAATTTCATTTCTACCAGGTGGGCTGGTTAGTGCTGACCAGCTCCATCCATGGAAATAAACAGCTGCAAGATCATGACAACAAATTGCTCAGTAGTAGCAGGCTTTGAAGCCTCCCTACATACACTCGTTTATGCATACAAATCTTTACCCTATTTGCTGGAGGCTGTGTAAAGCTTGTACTGGGTTAAGCACTCCAGGGTCAGGTTAAGAAGCCCATGAAGGATTTAGGTGCCCAAACTGCAGAGCAGAATTATCAGTCCTGTCTTGGGTTCCCTGTGCAGTACTTGGGGAATGTAGGCACCTCCAAAAAGAGTCTGGCAGAGCCAGTGTGATCTTATTGCCCCCTGGAAATGTCCTTGCAAAGCAATGGATCCCTTGACTTCTTTCAGTGCTAAATAGCTTTCACTGCTAAAAAAAAAAAAAATAGAGAACAAACATTGCAGGTACTATCTTCCTGCTCCTGCTTTATAGAACTGGTTAAAAACCTATGCAGAAAGTGCAAGATCCAGGTTCGACTCCAGGGACAGTGAGGTAACCCACCAACTCACCTTCTCACCAGTTGAGGATCCATGTCCCTCTACTCCCTCTGACACCCGATCCCACGTAGCAGCAGTTCCATGTCTATACAGAAGTGACCTGCAATTATCTTTTTTGATCCAGGAATGTGGCCTGACTGCACGTCTTCTGTGTGTTGAGCACCTCATCCCTAACCTAGGCAGTGCTTTTTTTCTTTTTCTAAGTGCTGCAGTGCCTATTCCCAGGACAAGCTTACTGAGTTAAACCCCTCAGGGAATTGAATATCTATAGGTTGAGACATAAAAAACCACTAGCCTGGGCTGATCATACAAGGCGTGTAGGGTACCCCTCACCAATTAGTCAGCTGTTGAATAGGTCTGGCAATTACATTTTTCGGAAAGAATATTGCTAGTGCTTAGAAAGAGTGCTTATGAATGAAAAGACTGAAAAATAATTGTGGCTTTGAAAGTTCACATGGGTGCTTGTCCTTCACCAAGCATTTAACGCTTACACCTTGGCTCAGCATGGCATTATTCTAGGCTTGCACTGTTAAAACACAGCACTGTACACTAGTTCATGTGACAAGTTCAGGAAAATTCAGGAATCAGTTTCAACTGATGTCTCACTAAGGATGTCCTTTTACATTTCACTGTTAGGCCAGGCTAGATACTCATAACATCACTGTCTGACCTTAAAATCTCTGATGCAGCTATTCCCTCCTCTCGGTGCTATTATTTGACTCAGCAGTTCATTTTTTGTCCCAGGCTTGTGCAAGCGTCATTTCCTTTTAACCTCTTGGCTCAGTTATTGGTGAAGGGTGGAGAGTTTTTGGCTTCTTTGCCATTGTTTGGGCATGTTCAAGTTGATAAAGATCAGTTCTGCTGGGCAAGTTATCAATAGCTCACGTGCCAAAGCTTGAGAATATTGAGCAACTTTTTCCAGACTTTCCCTGAGATTTAGTCAGTTAAAAGACTATACATAAAAACCTCAATTGCACATACAAAGGGGAAAGTTTCTTTGATGAAAGCCAGGAATTTAGATCAAAACACACTTTATTTTCCCTAGGTTGACAGTGAAAGGATATAAAAAAAAAATGCTGTTTTATTAAGACCAGAAATCCATTTCTTGATCTTAAAAGACTGCTTTTTTGCGAGAGAGGGAAGCTGTGCTGTAATGACAAGATCAGAGAATTAATTTCTTTTTTTTCCTTTTGTGCGGAAAAACTGCATATGAAGAGAAAAAGCAATAGCAAATTAATATAAAAGAAGGCTGGTACAGTATATGGTCCGTCAAATGTAAACACTCCAGATCTTAACCAAAATCCTGTGAGCTCTACCCATACAAATGGTCCATTGATTTCAGCCATATAATTCTCAATGTAAGCAGACTTTAGCCCTACTCACTAATAGGAATTTTCTATTTTTGGCAAGAGAAGAGAAGTAGTGGACCCCGAATGGGAAAGCAGAGTACAACTGCACTGTTAATGAAACATTTACCCTGATGTTTGCAACCTTCTGCGTGCTTGAGAGATTAATAAACACACAGGCTATTTGACTTCAATATAATGTAGAGGGGATCTATTACTTAAACTGTTTTCTAAAGCAAGTCTACTTTGGGCACAGAGTTTTAATTCACCTATAGTAATGGTAAGAGTGAACTATCTCTTATTATGCTTCTCTGTGACCTGTGTTGTGACAGACTTTCAGACAGGCCTGAGCAGGGACAGTCCCTTTTGCTGGGGGGTGATTACAGCACCTGTCAGAGCCCAGCCATAAGTATTCAAGGAACTCCTAGAGACAGGGTCCAATTTCTTTAGCAGTGTCACCAAATATACACTTAGGAGGCTTCCTCCTGTCCTGAAATTTAAGATCCTAAATAGCCAGTGGAAAAAAGCATAGTATTCATAACTTCAGACTTTATGCTTGCCTGGTTTATTTTTATTTGGTAAGTGATTCTGTGTTGACTTTTTTTTTTTCCAAGCCTGTAACTTTTCAGACAGAAATATAACTGATGACAGCTATGCTGCTGCAGCTTGGTAGTATTTTTTCAGGAAAGAGTTAAAGACATATATGATGTAAGGAAGTGCTGTTCCAACATCAGCTTTGACCAACAGATGGTGAAACAAACATGATCAGCAGACAAGCAAGATGATAGCAGCAGGGAAAATATGAATAATAGTAAGAAAACACAAATATGAAGTCTGTTACTCTGTGAGGCCCTAATTCAGCAAAATACTCAAGCATTGATTTCAGTTTCATGAATTTGCAATGCACTTGATGGGTTAGCCTTAAACTGACATTATCTGTTTTATGTCCTGAAGGTCAAACACATCAATTGACATAAAACATTGTCATTAACTTTCCTGTAATTCTGAGAAAGCTCTTGCATGAAATGGTTAATGTGATTGTCAACAAAAAGCAATTAGGTAACAATATATTCTACCTGTCTGCCTGCCTACATGTTTGTCCATTGTTTTTCTCAAGCATACCACCCTCCACGTCAGCCAGCTCCTCTGTAACCCAGAGCTTAGGTTAGAAGATTTCACGGTCAGGTGGCCTAAATAAGAAGAAGTTATCAGAAGCAACTGATGTTCTAATGAATTTCTGAGTCCAGGGTGGAGTCTTGGCTCTGTTATATTAATGTGTACTTTTGCCACGGACTTAATCTCCATCAAGCTTTAGCCCTATACACAGATGCATATATCTATGTACACAAATGCATGAATAATACATTTTTGCAATGGTATTGAGACCTTTTATAGCAGATGTCTGATTATATAAATATATATTATAAATATAGTCAGACATCTGTTTGAAAAATTATAAATACATTCAGACATCTGTTTTAAGAATGTCTTTCCAATATTTTTGTAAACATAACTAAGCGACAGAAGTGATTCAGGGCGGGATGCAGTCATGGCATGGATGGGGGATGAGGAGGGGCTGCCCAGACATTCAGCTGTTTCTCTTGCCTGTGACAATACGAAGCGAGTGGTGGCCCAAACGTGCCTTCTCCAACCCCCCAAGGTAACATGACAGAGTGTCTCATTCAGCAAGCCTAGACTGCCAAAATAAGATCCTGACACAGACAGCAGCTTCTGTGAGGACATTATAAATAAAAAACATCCCTGGTACATTAAGGTGTATTTAAATCTTACTTTACAGGGAGGAAGTACTGCAAAGACATGTTAAGTTGAGCAAGGTGATATAGTAAGTCTATGACACAGCCAGAAGCACAGGCTGTATCTGCTGGTGCTGAGCTCTATGTTGTAGCCATGCACACCTCTTATGAGGTCTTACATGAGCAAATGGTGGCTCTGCTAATGGTTTCCGTGCTTCTTTGCAGATGTATTGTGAGAGGTTTATATGTATCCTGAGAATACTTGGAACCACACTCTTCGGGGTGTCCCTCCTGCTGGGAATCACCGCTGCTTACATTGTGGGCTACCAGTTCATCCAAACAGACAACTACTACTTCTCCTTTGGACTCTATGGTGCTATCCTGGCATCACATCTCATCATCCAAAGCCTGTTTGCCTTCCTAGAGCACAGGAAGATGAAGCGGTCACTAGAGACTCCAATCAAGCTGAACAAAACAGTTGCCCTTTGTATTGCTGCCTATCAAGAGGATCCTGACTACTTAAGAAAATGTTTACTTTCTGTGAAAAGATTGACCTACCCTGGAATTAAAGTTGTGATGGTCATTGATGGGAACTCGGAAGATGACGTTTACATGATGGACATTTTTACTGAAATCATGGGTAGGGACAAATCTGCCACTTATATCTGGAGTAGTAACTTCCATGACAAAGGGCCGGGTGAGACGGACGAGTCTCACAGAGAAAGCATGCAACACGTATCTCAGCTGGTCCTGTCCAACAAAAGTGTTTGCATCATGCAGAAATGGGGTGGAAAAAGAGAAGTAATGTACACAGCATTCAAAGCACTGGGGAGAAGCGTGGATTATGTGCAGGTACGTATTAGAGTGCCAGGTCAGTGCCAATTCAAACACACTTTGAAAGAAAGCAGCTTTTGTATATTTTGTGCAGCATGTTAGAGGCCATCCTAGTCCCTGATGAACACAGTGCTCCTTTCAGCCTGTTTGGAAACAGCTTGACCGTTAAAGGTGTATTTTGCTAACTTTTAAAATGGTCTGCCTATCTGTGAATATGTTAAATCTGTGCACCAGCTACTGGAGAAATCTGAAATCCTTCCTCAGACTTCAGTACTCCACCCTCATCCAAATGGTTTTGCTGCAGACAAAGCCAGTGGCCTCCTGAAGACCCCTTCTCTGCTCCTGTAGGTCAAGATCTCAGTAAGGCTTTGTTTTGTAAGGTTGTTAGCAGCTCCATATGCAAGAAGACAGACAGGTAATTGGTGGCACTAGGGAATACCCCAGAGCAGTGGTGGAGTCTGTAAAAAAGACAGAGATATTTTAAAAGCTTTGAAGGCTATGCAGAGTATTCAATAAAAGGGTAAATGTGCAGCCTTGAAAGAAAGATTTCTTCAGCTAAAGCCTGAAGGAGCTTTTGCTTCATCACTTACAGCTGCATTACCTCACTCACCATGACTTGGCCTTTAGAGCCCTTATGACACTATTCACTTAAAAATGAGTTAGGCTGGGTCCTCTCTCCCTGTTTCCAAAGCAGCAGAGACACATTTCTTTCCAGCTGCCTTGGATCCCGTGAAAGATTTTCTATGTTTTTGCCTTACACGTGGAAGCACTCCTCACTCCTGCAAACAGCCCTGCTGACTGCGGGAAGGGGAAGAGGTCGTGTGTGGAGGAAGGAGGGTGGGATTAGGGTCTCTGGCTGGACACTGAGGAGAGTTCCTTATTGGTCAAGACCAGCAAGGCTCATTTGACTAGTTACACTGAATATGAGGTGATCTTCCCAATAAACCACCCTCAGCCCTTTCCACCTTCTCCCGACCTCAGAGCACCCAGCGGTCTCCTCAGGTGGAGCAGCAGCTCCCCGTGAGATCCTCTCTGCTGGCTCAGGCCAGCTGTGTGGCTGAGCCATGTGTGTTTCTGGGGTCCATACCCAGCCTTGTGCTGGAGTGTGTGTGCACCCTCCACGTGGCACAGCGTCCACAGGCACAGTGTTCGAGGGATGCAGAGAGGCTGCCGATAGCTGGGGTGAGAGCAGAGTCCTCCCCACACAGGAGGGGCAGAAACTGAAGAATGCTGGGAACTGCTCTGTTCTTGGAGCTGGGAGAGTAAGGCAAAGATTTAAAAACCATCCCCTACCACTTCCAAAACTGAAACTGATTTATTCTCTGAAAACAATGGGCTTGAGCTCTCCATTGTCTGCACTTTGGTTCTGTGCAACGAAGGACTATGATGGGATAAAAATGCTGGTTTTCTTTATTAGCATGGTTTTATAATCACTTCTCACAGAAGCATCAGATTGCAGAAAGAAAGGGCAGAGAGGAAACAGATTCGTTGTAACTTTCCTCCCTTAGTCCAGCTCTTGTATTTGTTCAGGGAACCTGGAAAAAGTGTTTTTATTTATTTCAACAGTCATAGCACAAACTGAGAAAATGGGAGAGATATTTCTCATCTTTTCAGTCAATTAACACTCCTGACCTGGCTCAGAAGTCCTGATGAATGTGTCAGGGACTGTAATGCTGCTCTAAGCTGCCACCAAAACGGCAGTAATGATTGATGCCACAGTCACACCTACAGTCACATCTTTGTTAGAAATGCAGTACCTTGGTGGCCCTGGCTACTACACAGTCATGATGCAATGCATCTAAAATATGGCTCTGTTTTATGAATGAATGAAGGGCAAGATTTTCCGAACGGTTCTTTGGGGTTACCCAGGGTAAATTACTTTAAACAGGACAGACATTTTAAGGGCTGAGCTATCTGCACTGATGATCAAGCACTTAAAAAAAGTGGACCAGTCAGCACTGTTGCCCACCACTGACACTGTGGTCTTTATGGTTCTTTAAAGGCACCACGGGGTTATGCACAGGGAATCATAAGCAGTCAGACCAATGCAGTTAACAAGCTGTTGCTCATTAGTGGCATCTCATTAAATACCTGAAGCTGTTGTAAAGGCTTATTTCCATCCTGGAGGAGGTTAGGAGGGTGCAAGCAATCAGGTAGAGGAGTTAAACTGGCAGGTATTATCAGTGCAGAGCTAGTCAGGGCAGCCAGGGTACAATTCATCTTGGCTTGATGGAGGTACCTTTGTGGACAGTCCAGTGCAGCCTGAACTTCTCAGAGCAGCTTGGATAAACTGCCACTGGTTATAACGAGTATCTGAACAGCTCACTTAAGGCTGACTGTCCCTTTCATGCAACTCTGTGACCCAAGGCAGTGATTTCTAGGTCATTCAGCCCTGTTGTGGAAAGATGACAAATTGGCTATCGGGCTGTGCTGGGCCACCCCTTACTGGGCAGACCTCGGTGTGTTTTATTTGGGTTCCCAAGTGTCTGCCTTGCTCTGGGTGTGTCCTCTTTTCCTCTGCAAAAACCTCATCCAGAAGCAAAATAATGGCTTGTCAGGTTTGCCCCAGAAACCCAGACGTCACCTGTGCTGACATGCCCAGGATACGTGGTGGTAGTTTGTAAATAAATCCAGTGTTTTCAGGATTCCTTATCTCATATTAGCAGCATCGCTAGTGGGCAGGTCTTTCTGTTATAGATAAATACATGTCATGTGGTGGGTGCTGCTCAACCTCATCAGCTGATGGGGACCAGAGGGAAAGAAGAGGGGCTGGGGAGGGGGCTGATCCCAGTCCACCACTCATGGTCACAAGAAATGGATGGAGTATCACTGGCTGAGCCCTGGGTACTCAGCAAACTACAGATTCCCTGTGCAAAACACTCAGCAACAGGTCTGTCCAGGAAGCCCCAGACAGAAATATAGGCATCCTTTCCCCTCTTCAGCAGAATTGTTTTGCTGCCTTTCTATCACTGAGTGCTGTCACTGATGACAGCTTTCTACCAAAGCTGGAGGCACACCTTGGCCAGGTTACAAAGGTGTTCCACGGGATGAGTCCCCTGAGGAGAGCAGCTGGATGCATTAGGTTAGCAGGAGCTGGAGGTTCTTGTGGCTTTTCTCCTCATGGAAATACGAGACCTTTCATCAGCTTTCTCCTCTCAGCCCCTCCAAGTGAATGTGGAGAGGAGCATGTTGGCAGACTTTCAGCTGCATCCCAAGTTATGCAGCCCAGCTATCCCAGGTTACCTCACTGCTCAAGTCTGGTCTGTAGCAGAGCCCCAAAATGCTCTCCTCCCCCTTCAGACCAGACAAGAAGATTTCCACCCCCCTGGAGCAAGAGGGCTTAGGCTGAATTGAAAGTTTGGATGAAAGGACACCAGAATCAAGATACCTGATACGAAGCCTCATCAGAATCTAACTTAATAGGTTATTCATGCAGAGCTACTGACTTCTGCCCTTGCCGTCCCCATCTGAAATCACAGGAATGCAATGAGACGATAAACTGGAAGCAGTCTGAGAATTTGTAGGGCAGGATCCAGCCGACCAGAAGGGTGTTTCTGGGACAGCCTCCTCTACTCCAATTCCTGGGCGTCTGCGAAATGAGTTTACGCATGATGGGGGAACCGCTGACAACAGCAGCTGCAACGGGGAGACACCCGCTTGTTTTAAACAGGCTGCAGCACATGTCATTCGCCTCTGAGCAAACGAAAGCGATGCCAGCTGCCTCACAGACCAGCCAGCCTGTCTGAGCCCTCCTCCTACTCTCCCGGGCAAAGCCAGTTCCTAATGTACACAGGGTTTAGTTGACTAGGAGTGTTTGTGTGGCTGAAATGCCTTGTGTGTGTCATCTATTTCCACCCCGGTCTCATGGAGTACTGCACTTCACGACTCCCTCCTTCTGGCCTTGCGTATTCTTTATAAGAATTCCAGAGAGAAAATAGCAAATAATTTCTATATATCAAATGTCAAATCCCTGCACTACTAATAAAACACCATGCATCTAAAATTAAAAATTAGTTTGTTCTGGGATCCAAAATACATATCGTATATGAACTGCTAAAGCCTTCTGTGAGTGAAAGAACTATTAGGTTTGTTCCCAGACTCGTAGCTGACATTTTTTTTTTTTTTTCACAGCAAGTGTCTGGAATTTAACTCCTCACTCCTTCCCTCATATGGCAGTGGAAAACATTTGACCAGGGTGCTCCAACCATACAGCCAATACTGGGAAACCCTGTGTCAGGGCTCAGCAGGAATCTGCTGCACACCCACAAACATTGTCTCACTCTGCAGTGCCCCATCTCTGAGAGGGTATCTCTTTTTCAAAGAAGCCAGCCCAGTGTGCCAGTAAAACAAATAGAGACGATACAGCAGAGAGAGTGTGCACAGCACTAACAAGCGCTCCTTTTTGTTCAGCACCACTCTGCTGCCTGATACAGATGGCCTTTATCAATGCAGACTTCAAAGTGAGATTTAATTGCATTCAGGAGAATATGCATATAGAGTTACTACAATCACTCGCATGATTTTTATTTTCTTCTCTAGTGTATTCCTTAACCCATTTTTGTTCTTGTTTTGTTTTACTTGTAGGTCTGTGATTCAGATACAATGCTTGATCCAGCCTCATCTGTGGAGATGGTCAAGGTTTTAGAAGAAGATCCAATGGTTGGAGGAGTTGGAGGTGATGTGCAGGTGAGTATGATGATTTTCAGCTTAACAGAGGGGTTTCAGCAACTATTGGCACTGAAACAGATTTCCCTGACTGAACTAGCTTTGAATATGCTGTGATACCATTATAGACACTCTTATGAGACCTTAACCTTTCTGTCTGTTGAACAGAAATCCTTATTCTGACATATGAGCACTTCACGATTTTAACACCCACAGAAAGCAAACAAATATTATTCTCCCCCATATACGTGAAAAGTGGGGCACTGGCATTGTCAGGACTGTTGTAGCATCTTTGAGTCTCTGGGTATAACTGTTTGCTCAGGGCGACAAAGAAAAGCTGTAGGGGAGCAGGGAACTGAGAACAGGTCTCCCAAAGCCAAGTCCAGTACCCCAAGCACTTCAATTATGTCACCACTGGCAGCCAAGATTGTTAGGAATAAAAGCCTTTTTGAAATGCAGTGCAGTATGCACTCTGTGCGTTGTTGGGTTTCTGCTGCATCTCTGTCAGACAGGACAGTGGAAAGTCCCCAGGTCAGCCCAGATCCACTTTTGTTAGGATTCCCAGCATTGCCAAGTATGGCTGACAACTACAACAAAAGGCTGTTCATTCCTTTTGATACAATTGCTTTTGCTGCAATTTATAAAGAAAAATGCATCTGAGTATTTCGAATGGCCTTGGGATTGGTCCCCCATAGTCAGCTGGGTTTTTATGTGAGGCGGAAGAGAAAGGGCCATCTATATGGGCAAGCACTTACTAACGAACACCTCACTAGTCAGAAGTATTTCAGGCGTGTGGCTCTTAACTCCAGAAATTAAGATTCCCACAGAAGCCTGAATATCTTTGTGGCAGGTCTTTAACTGGGGGTGAAGGGAAAGGAAGAACGAAACAGAAAACAAGTTTCTTGTTGGAGAAGAGAAAGGTTGCAAGGAAAAAGAGAATATTTTCACGGGATGGACTTTTGAAGGCTTCATCTTGCGCTTCCTGTCAATGTCCTGGACTGTGCAGGTAACTCCTGGCTTTGTCATGAGTTGAACACAGGAGCGAAGTTCCCCCTATATTTCGGCTAAAGGTGCTCTAGTCTCTGCAAATTCCTGATTAATCCAACGTGTGTATTTTCTTTCTCAAGAGCTCATCTAAAATGAAAACTTTTTGTATTTTGCAGATTTTGAACAAATACGATTCCTGGATATCCTTTCTGAGCAGCGTGAGATATTGGATGGCATTTAACATAGAAAGAGCATGTCAGTCCTATTTCGGCTGTGTACAGTGCATCAGTGGACCTCTGGGAATGTACAGAAACTCTTTACTCCATGAATTCGTGGAAGATTGGTACAATCAAGAATTTATGGGCTCCCAGTGCAGCTTCGGCGATGACAGGCATCTAACTAACAGAGTGCTGAGTCTGGGCTATGCAACAAAATACACAGCTAGATCCAAGTGCCTTACCGAAACACCGATAGAGTATCTCAGGTGGCTGAATCAGCAGACCCGCTGGAGTAAATCGTACTTTAGAGAGTGGCTTTATAATGCGATGTGGTTCCACAAGCACCATTTGTGGATGACGTATGAAGCTGTAATCACTGGATTCTTCCCTTTCTTCCTTATCGCCACAGTCATTCAGCTCTTCTACAGGGGAAAAATCTGGAACATCCTCCTCTTCTTGTTGACAGTTCAGTTAGTGGGCCTGATAAAGTCCTTCTTTGCCAGCTTCCTTAGGGGCAACATTGTCATGGTTTTCATGTCACTCTACTCAGTGTTGTACATGTCAAGTTTACTGCCAGCAAAGATGTTTGCAATTGCCACGATAAACAAAGCAGGGTGGGGCACATCAGGAAGAAAAACCATTGTAGTTAATTTTATAGGACTCATTCCAGTCTCTATTTGGTTTACAATCCTCCTAGGTGGCGTAATATTCACGATCTACAAGGAATCAAAAAAGCCATTCTCTGAGTCAAAACAGGCAGTTCTCATCATTGGGACAGTACTCTATGCATGTTACTGGGTTATGCTTTTTACTTTGTACTCAGTTCTTATCCACAAATGTGGCAGGCGGAAGAAAGAGCAACACTGTGACATGGTGCTAGACGTATGATGTTTCCATGGGAAGTTACCCAGAGAGTTGTAAAGCAACCCAACGACCTTGTAGTATCTGTGGCATCAGACGAATGTTGCCAAGGGAAATGGATCACTGCTGCTGGGAATAAGACATTTATATTCCTCTGGGTTCATTTTCATCCTGCCAAAGTAAGAAAACAAAAACAATAAAAAACAATTTTTTTTTCCAAGGGGGAGAAAACACAGACCACACATTTTTGACCTGTTCGCAAGAAAACGGGAGAAGTTCTATGTTTATGCACTTTTTTATTGTGCATATGCCTGACAGTGTTACGTTTTATATACCTCACTGGTCATGCTCATGTGTGTGGACAGGAAGGAAAGGAGTTTGGAGAATCGATAAAAGGATCTTACAACCCCTTGCAACCTAATTTATGAACTTCTCTTTTTTATAATTCTGTTTATAGGAAGGGTCTTTTGTGTTAGGCTGCCAAATGTAATGCCAAAGGTAAATTTTAAGAGGCCATTGGCTGAGCTGTATTTTTATATTATTGTATTATTTGTGTGTGTGTATTTTTAAGCCAACTTTTTTTTTAAATCACATATTTTATATTTTACTATCTGCCAAAAAAAGCTGCCTCCCCAGCATTTTGTTCTTTAGCCTTTTTAAATACATTTGGGAAAAAAAATCTTACTTCCTCCCCCAGAATTTGTGCTGAGTTGATTTTGTTCACAACAGAAAGAATAAAAAGTCTCTCTGCATTTGTGCAACTGATGAATGGTTATTTCTGTGAAAAATCATTTAAATGTGCTCTTTGAAGATGTTTATTAGGAAAGGCCCAAAACTGTCAGTTTTTGAATACAAGCATATTTGTGCATGAAAAAGGCCAAAGGGGTAGATATGTGCAATTTGGGATTTTGTTTTGGATGACATTGTAAAAGGGAAATTTGCTTCTCTGCTGAGAGCATCATATCCCTGGCATGCGCAATAGCCGTGAGGCAAGGCAGTCCTCGATGCCATTGGAGAAGACATTGCTATAGGAAAGCTCCCACTGGTTTTCCATGGGATCTGAAGGGTCAAAAGCTTCTGATCTGGAGAAATATTGGACACCCAAAACTGCTATTGTCTTCTCTGGTGGTTGGAGTTGTTCATAATCTGCTAGTAGCAAGCAGATAGTTCAGATTTTTGAGTTTAAAAAAAATACATGGAAGGAAAACTTATCAACACTTTCAAAATGTGGGTCTCTTACTGTAAGACTTCTGCAGTGCCCTTCACAGAGTTTACAGAAAGAACAAACATTAGCTTCTCTGATATTCAGTGTGATACAGACCCCAGTACTGAGCCCAGTAACTTGTGTTTGACTAAAGAATATCTACCAGAAAATAAGCCAATTTTTTATCAGAAAACATCAAGTATTAGCAAATCCTTCACTTCCTTGGTGCCTATTTATCAGTCTTGGACATTTATTTTGGACCACGGTTTTGAGAAATAATATTCAGGACTAAATTTTGCAATTCTTCACCAGCCAAAGGAATGTGGTATTGAGCCCTAATATACCTTATAAAGAGCAACAGAAAGCCAGCTGCATACAGATACGTGCCCTTCTTAGATTCTGGTATTAAAAGCACTGTGGTAAAGCAGAAATCAGCATATGATGCTTAAAGAACTTAGAAGCATTTTCAGCTTCTCTTTTTTATGCAGACATGAATAGATTCTGCTGTAGAATGAACTGCACACACACTACCTTATTTGTCTGATTATCTTGAGGTACATGATTGCTTGAAAGTCATACTAATATGTTAATGATTGGAGAGTTGATTCATGTTGATTACAAAATAGAACAGTATTAAAAAAAGAGCAAAAGAAACAGTAAAAATAAAAAAAAAAACTTGACTATGCCTTTTAACTATTTATGATGTAAGTTAAAGCTTGGGTTAACATTCAAATGTCAAATAAATCCTCTCTTTCTATAAAAAGATTGAATTAATTGCCTGTATTTATTCTAGCAATTATTCAATGTACTTCCAATATAGGTTGTATAGTATAATTGTTACTTTCATAAATAAAATATTTTTGATAAGATTATGACTAATTCATGGTATTTCTGATCAGAACTGCTGCTTTGAAGCCATAGATCCGCATGGTTTGAAGGATGTTGTTATAGACCCACCAGCCTGATTTCCAAGTAGGAATTTGCCATTGCGTAGCAGAGCACCTGGGGATTTTGTGCCTGGAGGAGGCAGGGACTGATCCCTGCTCTGAGAGGCACCACAGTATATGGGTAGCGCTCAGAGTCTTCACCTGACTCTGCTAGCAGCTGCCAGATAATTTTGGACAAAACACTTCCTTCGCTTTTTCCTCATCTTCCTGATTTGTAAAACAGGAATAACGATCCAGCCTCCTTTTGGGAAGTGCTTTGAAGTTTAAGGCCAAACTACTTTGCATGAGAGTTGATATTTTCCAACCCTCCTGTTCATGGGAAATTACTGCCCTTCATAGCTGGGGAAGCAGAGCAGAGCATATACATGGCCTTCTACTGCTCCTCGTTACTGCGATTTCTAGAGCCCACTTCATCCTAGCGCAGCTGAAGTGCATATATGTATTTTCTGTCACTGAGTGTTATGGGCAGGAGCCACTGGTAGAGGGGCAGAGTAAGCAGGGAGCAGTGACATCTCACACATCTCTCTGACCATGACAAGCTCATCACAGCTCAATTACTTCTCAGCACCTGTTACCCTATATCTGGATACTATGCCCAGTTTTGGGTCCCCCAGTACAAGAAACTGGAGCAAGTTCAGCACAGGGCCAGTGTCATGGTTTGGGCTGGAATGGAGGGGCTGAGAGAGCAGGGCTGGTTCAGCTGGACAAGGGATGCCTTCGAGGGGAGGACACCTAAGGTCACCTCCAGTACCTATAGGAGGTCATCTAGAAGATGGAGCTAGACTCTTCACAGTGCTACCTGGTGACAACAGTCAGGCATCTCAGGATGGAGGCTGCACTGTCTCTCCTGGCAACCTGCTTAAAAGCCTGACTGTCCTTATGGGGAAGAAGTCCCTGTTTATACCCAGTCCAAATATCGTCCCCTTTAATTAAAACCTGGAGTTTTTCATCTTTCCACCAGGTAGCACCAGGACAGACAGTGCAGCCTCCATCCTGGGAGGGTTTCAAGATTACCAAGGCCCCTTCCAACCTAAATTCTTCTGTCACCCTTTCTGAAGCAGGTGCTGACAGTCTGATTCCTAACGACAGCTCCCACCCACACAGAAGCTCAGTCAGGGCTCTGTTCCCCACACAACCACCCTGATCCTGGGCACAAATAGCTTGTCAGCGCTGGTGCTTTGTACCCAGAAAAATCAGATGCCTTCCTGTGACTCTGTGTCCCCACTGTGTTTACGGCTGTGTAAAAAAAAACCTTTCAGCAGAAAACAAGACTACAAAACAGTTCTTAATGAAAATGTTCCTAGGCATATTAAATAATGCAATAACATTTCTTCCGCTTGTTTTCATCTCCACATTATTTCTTTGTGTTTCCAACAAATTTTGGTTCTGTGAAAAAAATAAAAAGTTTTTCATTAATAACAAATACAATTGTGAGATCTCTGTCAAAAGAACAAAATATGTTAAAAGGAAAATTCATGCTTTGTTTTGAACTTTTTTGAAAACACAGATATTTTTCAGCTGTCTCTGATAGACAGATGGTGCTGAACACTATAAGAATCTCCCACAAACTATAAATTCTACAGAAAAGTTAAAAGACCATCTTTGAAAAAAAATGCAATGAATTGGCAATATCTCAGGTCATAACCCATTTCTAGAGTGGAGTCACTTGGGTTTGAGAGCGTCTGTTTACAGAACCCAGGTGTGAAGCAAAACCTGCATGAATCAGAGGTGCAGCAGAGAGGAAGGAGCCCTCCTGTTTTGTCTGCTAACAAGCTTCGGTTTGGCCAAGAATCAGGTTTCTTTCAATAGGAAATACATGAATATTTAGCAGAACTTTTCTAGGAGGTGGAAAAAATCCTGTCAGACATGTACTGCCAAACATGTCCCAATGCACAAGCTGTTGTGAATCTGTCTGAATTTTATTCTTAGCAAGCGATAAAATGGTAAAGAGGAGACAAAATATACTGAAAGATGTTGATGAGGTTTGGTATTACTGAGGCTTTGTTGGAAAAGTTGCTTTTCTCAGTAGCTAACACGATTAACTTAAGCATAGCGCAGTTTTTTTCCCAGCTTTCCCTTGGGCTAAGTTTGCTGCTTCAGGTTCAAATCTGATGGATGGATGAGTGCCCCAAACGCTTGCTCCTTCTTCCAGCAACAGTATTTTGGATAATAAAGGATTCTATCTCTCCTAGAGCAAACCAACTTGAGTTTTCTTCTAGAATAGCCCTAAAGTTTCTACACGTTACCATGGTTGCACAGAAGAAAATGGTCCTGTAGTTACATTTACACTGAATAAATGAGAGACCCAGGCCATGTGTCTGAGCTTTGGTACGTGATAATAGTCTGTGTTGTTCAGGCATAACCATGGTCCGTGGAGCATGCCAGACTGGTTTGGGGGATTGTAGAGCTTAGGTGTGATCTCTGTCATCAGCTGGTCTCAAGGTCCAAGAACAGTCCCTGTTTTGGGTTTTGTTTGTTTTTTTTTTTTTTTTTACTAGATTAAATATAAGATATCAACATCCCACTGAGGAGAACAATGCATGGTCTGCTCACTCCTTATGGAACATCACGCACACGGGTTCTTACTCTCAAGAGATCAGTACACATGATTAGTTCTGCAGCTCTTTAAAACACCTTCTTTCTTTCTTTCTTTATTTTTCAGTTAAGAAACCCCATGTGTTTTCTAATTCCTTTGATCATGTCCAGGAAGAAAGAACCAGCACCACCCAGGAGCCAAACACTACTGTAGTCACAGCACCCAGGGTCTGGGACCCACCTCATTAATACTTCCATTTCTTCTTTTACAGCATCCCTGCTGGGATGTCTTTCTCCTAATAGTAATCTACTTCCATTTGCTCCAGGTATGACTTACACTGCAGAAATGAAATGGTTATGAGACAACCTTTTTTGGCTGCTTCTCACACAGTTCACTAAGAACAGGGAGCATGAAGGGTTTGCATGTCATCAGTGCTGCTTTATACTACTCAAGACAGTGATGTTTTGAATATTACATTATCAGTCACATCATTAGGCATTAGAGAACCCACACAAAGAGCAAGCACAAGAGTGACAGCTAGCAAGTGAATCATAGGACATTAGATTTTGTAAGTTCCTCTGCCCATATAGTTATTTATTTTGCAGTTTCCAGGGGGGGAAGTCATCACTTTTAGCTATGTCTTGACCCTACAGCACTTTGGGGACACATAAAACACTGTAACCATGAAGAACTGAGGTGAATGTCACTAAAAATAGATTAAATGGGCAGCTTTTTCTAAATTAACTACAAGATTGTGGCCTGTATCTGCTCCTCAGACGTGTTCTTAAGTTTTCCATACTGATCCTTTTCAATAAATGTAGCTTATGGACTGAATCCATCCAGTGAGTTGATGCTAAGGACCACAGATGAGTTCTGTTTGCTCTCATTATTCATTGCCTGCTACAGAAATTGCACAGCATCTTACC